TGATGATGCTGATGATGCTGATGATGATGATGATGATGCTGGTGGTGGTGGTGGTAGGGGTGCCGATATATGCCATCTAGGCAACTGGCCAGGCTGGATGCTCAAATGGACGACACTCTCTCCTGATTGGTGCAGTCCGAGTCCCGTTTGCTCACCACCAGCCAGTCCCTCGACTAATCTGTATGGCCTGTCTCGCCGGACCATTTGGTCTGTCCAACCACTGGCCGGAGAAAACCACTTGCCTGTCTATTTGCCCACCCGTCTGTCCATCCGATCAGTTGTGGCCTGTTTGTCGGGTTGCCAACCCCCTGGTCGGCGACCTGTACCTCTGTGCCAACTTTGCTGTGTCTGCCCATATGTCTGTCTGTTTGCATGTCGCTTTGTCTGTCGATTTGTCTATCAGTTTGTCTGTATGTTGTCTGTATGCCTGTCTGTTTCTCTGTTTGTATGTACGCTGTATGTATGCAGGCATGTATTACTGCATCTCTGTCTGTCTGTCTGTCTGTATATGTGTATGTAATCTGTATGCCTGTCTGTATATTTGTGAATGTCCAGTCTGCCTGCTCCTGCTGTTCAGGCCTCTGATTGCCCTGGCTTGATTGAGACTAGAAACGGCTCGGAGCAGCTCAAGTTCGGCCTGACGAGGGCTGACTGAACTTGACCTCTGTTTGAGTGGGCTCAAGGCCGAGTGGGCATCTGAAAGAGATAAAATGAAGAATAAGGCCGCGAGAAGTGGGGAGAGGAAAGCCTTAAATCAGGCAAGTTGTCTGCCGAGCAGAGGCAAGCCGAGTTGATTCGACCTGCGACCAGCGGAGATGCACAACCGCAGGTTAGGACGCAAATAAGACATCGTGGATGCACTGTCGAGGCAGTATGTAGCAAGCCTGGCAGAAGGTAGCAAAGAAAGTATAGAAATCCATTTTCAGCCCTAACAAACTCGAGCAATCTCAGCAACGAGTGCGCAGCAGAAAGTCGCATTCGCCCTAAATAGTACGCGAACTCGAAATATGCGGCCGAGCACCACTCGAAAAACAGACGAAGCGATGTCGAGTCCCGATGAGGATGTTGATAATGCCCAACCCTTTTGCAGGCAAGGCTAGACCAAATTCAATGAAGCCTTCTATTCATCTTAATTTTGACAAACTCAACACAGCCTAAACCAACCTAATTTCGCTCTAGTTCTTGTCAATGCTGCTGTTAATGTTGCGAATCTCTTCTTCACTCACTGTCATGCGAACTGAACTCACTCTTGACAAAAATGTTACGAAGCCTATCCACTTTATAAATAGTAATGCAGTCTAGACTAAAGCAAAATCAGGGTTTCTAAATCAATAATAGTCCCATTGTAAATTGAGACTTGGTGAGTCCTGTTTTGACTGACCAACGGGCTCCGGGGCAGTCTGGCGAACTAGCGTTATTGCTGCTCTGTGAGCAGTAGTTATCGCCAAACCAATCGGGAAAATCGACGAGACCCTTGTGAAGTCGAATCTGCTGTCCAGTTTGGATGAAATAGCCCCTTTTGATGCTTAGCTTGAGCGAAATGCAGGGGCATCATAAGGCCTTCTGCTAAGTTAAATGTAGGAAGCCCAAGCATCAGTTTTTTCATAGCCTATAGTTTTCTGGGATTATTCTTTTTTGCTTCCTCAAATACGGAATTGTGGTTCCAGTAAAGCCTAGAGTTCATCTAGTAGGTCAGTGTTTTGGTGTATTATTTTCATGATCTATCCAAATCCTTTCATTCTTACATCTATTTTGATCTTAATAGTAATTAACAATTAATTAACTAAATTATAATAAGATATGAAGACCAAGATGTTGTGGCCTCTGGTATGGTCGAAGTCTTCTTTCAATTTATAGAAGTAT